ATGATTTTCGATCTCAAAGACGGCTTAAGATGTATACACTCATGCGAGCGTGCCTTCGCGTTTCGTGTTCCGGGCACAGCTTATAGAACAATAGATAGCTAAGTACCAATATGTGAATCTTGCGGGTTCTGCAAGGCACAGCGCGATTGGGTTATCTTCCGGGCCTGCGGGCCAATAAACCACTTCGACCCAGTAGTATTGGACGAGGGCCTCCCCACTCGTGAATACCATCCAGCCGTCTCCTGGACCCCTCCTTGTATCTCCTTGTTCCAATTTCCAGAGTGAGGCTTGTGTTGCGACCCTTTCTCCGACAGGGTGTAGGGACCCTACGTGGCGGATCAATGAACTTAGTAAGCAGCGGGTGGACATGGACGGAGCGCGGCAGGAGCACAGTTTTCCACTCAACTACAAAGCCAATGTGCACTGTGATGAGAGCACTGTTCATGGACTTCGAGGCATGCAGGACCGGCACATTTACTCTGAGAGCCAAAAATGTTCCCAATTGGGGAAGAAGGACCTTGCTCAACTCTTACCAAGCCGCTCCCACTTCCAGTGCTACCATGACCAAATCGTGCAATATAGGGCCTGAATAATTAGAATAGGGCTTGGGTCTACTATACTAGAACTTATAAAAAGGAACCCCCAAAATAGCATCGGTAATTGTTGAGGCCGGTATATCAATTCGAAGGAGGTTTAAGCAAAGCTAAAGCCCGCCCCAAAAATCTCGGCTCATAGCGTCACAAGACCCTCATGAAGTCCTTATAACAACTCAACCCTACCTTAAAGCAAACCGCTTTAAGTCGAAGATGACCCTAAACCCTAAACCCCAAAACCCTAAACCCTAGTGGGGGCCTCCTGTATGAAGTCCCTGGCTTGCGGCTGGCTCTGGCTGACTTGCCTGGGGCTGGGTTTAGGGTTTAGGGTTTCAGGTGGGGGCCGTAAACCGACAGAAACTTCGAACCCTCAGCGCCCAAAATGCTGTAGGAGTCTCGGGCTCCCTACCATAGCTTCCATGCTGACTCCCTAAACCGTAAGTTTTTTTTGTTATCACCTCTTTTCCTTCGCCTGAAAAGGTGTCCGGAATACCATGTTGGTTGAGGCTGGACAATGGGAGCCTAGCACAACCACGAAGGGATTCACCACCAACCTATTACGGTTTAGGGTTTTGGGTTTAGGGACCCTATAATTCTAGGAACCTAGGAACTGAACCACAAGCCGTGCCAGCTGCTCGTCCAGCTTGACTCGGACCCTGCTGCACCAGCCAAGCACCGTCCCGAGCGAACTCACTATGCTTACTCTGCATTTCAGCCTTCCGTGTTTTCGTGTTGATACGCCAATTGCAATCTGTATCTCCTTCTTCTTCTTTATGTGTGTAAAAATATATGTGTGTGCATACATATATATATATATATATATATATATATTAATACTCATTTATCACTACCCGGGCTTGATCCTAAACCCTAAACCCTCAACCCATGTCCAGGCATGCTTGGTTTCACCCTGAAAACCCCAAAACCCTCGACCCTGCTTGCAAGCACACAGGAATACAGCCAATTTCGACGCCTCGACATTCGGAGTGAACTGGTTTGGCAACGCAATGCTTGTACAAAGAACTTGTGCAGGAGGTTCGCTCGCCTTCGGCGCTCGGCCTCTCTCAGCACATGATGAGCGTTGCTTGGCCGGGGATGGGCCAGACCATTTTGACATAAAAGATCCAACACGCAGGCTGAAGACCCAGAAGACATCCCTGATCATCCCTAAGTCCCCACCCGCAGGGTCGTGCCAACAGTGCTGGATCAGGTTTGCCAGCAAAAACCTTCAAAGAAGGGCTTCGCTGACGAGTCCCGAAGAACCAAAACTTATTGAATTGTGCAACAGGTCCGGCTGAATAGCCTCCTGCACATCTTTGCTCTCCTAAGGTCCTAAGCAGCATCTTTCGCACCCAGATTCACGATGTCCGGCTTCGACATGGCGGCATCCTCCTCCTCGTCCTCACCTGGAAGGCCGTCCAGCTGCTTCAGTTCATCCTCTGTGAACATGAACCTCATGGCCTTGCGGATGATGGCAAGGGACGCCATGAAGAAAGGGAACACCACCGACGTCTCCTTAATTGCCTTCAACCCATACAGAATGCCAAGACAGATGACCTGGACGA